TATCTTTAGTATGTCGCTGACGTAGGAAGGAAGTTTATTTCAAAAGATCAGTCAAGAAGACATTAGTAACCATTTCAAGAACTATTTTTAATTTACATGTCTCCTAGGAAAGGGGTTCAGGGTCGAACAGTCAGTACACTCACTCCTTACTGAATGAATTCTAACTTCTCTGCCTAGGCCCTAAGGGGTGGGAGGTGATTTATAGAAATAAGTCCTCTACAGAGGGGGAAATGTACAATATCCTCGCTTTCAAAATATAATAAAATTATTTAATATAACCCTTAATACTTTAAACTCTAATATCATTGAATTTTTTTAATGAGTTGTTAGTGTTGGTAAATTCAAAACCACCATTCTAAAACATAAAAATATAAATCCTGTTAATTATGCTGGAGTTGTTCTGCATTTTCAAAGCCTCTGTAGTTAAGGAATATTTTATGGCAGAAACATTTCCTATAACTGCTCTGGAAACATTACATCTTCCCACTTAGTCCACAATCCTCCCATCCAAAATGTAGTTCTATATGCCAGAAGCTGGCATATGCTTTTTTAAATGCTGATTGAACAATTAAGTCATTTCTATCAATACATAAAATAGTCCTATAATTTAGGATCACAGGCAATCTAGATTGCTGCTCATTTAAATGCAGAACCTGAAGCAACCTCCAGTGACAGGAGCTATAGTGTTCAATATCATTTTACATGTTAGAGAGGCTTCGTCTTACATACAAACAATGAACCCAGCAGGGTTCTTCATCCTCAAGCCACGGAGATTGTTATTTCTTCAAGGGTGTCGGCAGATAAGGCAACATAAACACTAAGTTCCAATGGCGATCAACATTTTTCTAAATGGTCAAAAAAAAGGCATTCCCACCCATTTTCCTTTCCTTCTGCTCATTTGATTTCCCTGCTTTGGGGTATTCAACAGGGGTGTGTTTCTAATGAAAACCTTAAAATAATTATCCCCAAAGCCAAGGATATTCTAAAAACCAGTAGGTGGCTGCCTCATGGGGGAGGGGGGAGGAGGGGGTGGGAGGGGAGGTTAGAGTAGGAGAGAGACTCATTTCTCAGTGTTTTGTGCCTTTCCAGGTGGGTATCCTATCTGATCTAACCGATTCTAAATAAGCAAGCAATCATCAGAACTAGCAGTTCACAAACTTAAGGCTTCCCAGTCAGCATTTCAGTTCATGCGGCATTCATGAAGACCTGTGATCCTCCCCCATGATCCTCTAAGCAACCTGCTGCAGCAAACCCCGGAGCCTGCTCGCAGCCAGGGAGCAGCCCGGAGGCCAGGCGTGTCACCTCCAGCAGATGCAGCAGCCTCACTCCGCACGACCACCTCGCTGTCGTCTCACTCCACTCCGAGTGAAACCCTGCCGCAAGCCAGCTGGTACTCGCCTTCCTGTTCCTTTCTGGTGCAGCTTAATAACAAAAACAGCTTGGCTTTGAAGCGCTGCTCAGAAACTGCAAAAAGGAAGTCCTCCCGTTCTTGGGGGGGTTGGGGGGGGGAGGAAAGTTTTGACTCGGAGAGAATCGCATACCTCCCGTGTCATTCCAGCGGGGACGCCCGAACTCCCAGCTCAGGGAGACGTGGAGGCGATGCTCTCTCCCCCTGACAACTGCTCTTTTCGGTTAACTTTCCACCCCGAGTGCCCCCAAGCTGCCTGGGAAGCGATCGAGCCTCCCCACGACTCGGATGGTTTTTTAAAGACATGCGCCAGGCCAACAGTTTATTTAAATCTCTACAAACTGCATCCATGTCCATGAGAAGGGACTGGGGGGGAGGAGGGAATAGCAATAATAAAGACAGCCAAGCCCGAAACGCACCCCCCAACTTCCCACTTGCCATTCCCCAGCCTTCACACCGGAGGTAGCAAAACGCCTTTTTACTGAGAAAACTGCCGAGAACCGACCTCCCCGCGCCCCAATGGAAATTCCGCAGATAACTCGTGTGAAATAGGAAAAGCGCCGGGTGCAGGGGTCAGCAGCCACAGAGCCCGACCCCATCCCCGGCGCGCCCCGCGAGGCTGGGCGGGGGGCGGCGAGGGCTGTGCGCGCCCCCGCCCCCGGCTCCCCCGAAGGGGCCACGCAGCGGGGAGAAGGGGGCTCGGGCAGCTTCCAAAGCCCCCCCTCAGGGGCTGGGGAGGTAAGAGGAAGATGCAACTTTCAGGACAGGAGGGGGAAAGTGGGCCCCCGCGGTGCCCCCCAAACTCCTCGGGGCGACCCCTCCCAGCGGGGACCCCTTGCACCCCCAAGCCCGGTGCCGCCCAGCTTGGACTTCCCTCCTCCGGCGGCTCCCGGGCTGCGGGGAAGCGGCGCGGCCCCAACACCCCAGAACTCTCTCCGAGCGCCCCCCGCTCGGCGCGCCCCTCAGCGCCTCCGGGAGCCGAAGCCTCCGGCTCGCGCAGCAGCCCCGGGGACTCGCCCTCTTCCCTCCGCCTTGCACTCCAGCCCCTCGCCCGCTGCCGCTCCTCCTTTATCTCCACTCACCACCCGCCGCCATTTTCCTCGCAGCTCAGCTTTAAATCGGAAACTCGCTGCTCAGCCCGCAGCCGCCACAGCCGCCGCCGCCTCCTCCGCCGCCACCACCGACTCAGCCGCCGCGGCTGCTGCCGTCGCTGTGGTAGAGCTGAGGAGCCAGCGGCTGGAACCTCGGCGCGGGGGCCGCCGGGATATGTAGTCCCGGGGCCACGCCCAGCACTACCGGTCCCAGGGGGCCTTGCGCGGCAGGGCTCCGGGTGTCCCTGCCCGCGGCTTCCGCGGCGCGAGGGCGTGGCCGCGCGGACCCTCGGCGGGCTTTCGCTCGCTTAGCACCAGGGAGCCGCGGCGGGGTCGGGAGAAATGGAATGCAACCCTCCCCTCCCCTTAATTTTTTCATACTTGCTTTCGTCCTGTAATATACGATACTTACGGAGCATTTATTGTGGGCAAGCACTGATCCTCAAAACGAGCATCCCTTCGGGACCACTGTTATCCTCATTGTTCAAAGGAGCAAAATGAGACACAAGGTCAGAAGCCAGGAAGCTGTTCAATAAATGCTGAAGTTACGGGGTGAAAGCTTGTTGGGCCATAGGGTATGTACTATATATTCAGTCCCGAAGTATCATGCCACGGGGTTCTTCCCACTTACAACAGGGGAACAGCTTCTTTACTGTGGAGAGATCCTGTTAATTCAGACACCACCGGAGCCAAGCGGGCAATCACCATCACTTACCGTCGCCAGTAATGGATCAAACTGACAGTATGTGTCTCCTGATATGATGCAATGGGGAAGGCATAACGCCACCCTGTAGTATTCTTGTCACACACACACACACACACACACACACACACACGCTAAACTGAACCTACTGGTAACTATGAAAAAGCAATCAGACACATCCAGAACGTGGCACATGCTACAAAACACCCATGAAAGAGGTGGAAACAAATGATATGTGAGAGCCTTGATTGGATCCAGGTTTGGGAGCTTTTTATATAAAAGGGACTTTGGGGGGAAATTTTAATATGGACTATATATTAGATAATAACATTGAATCAATATTAAATGTCTTGAGTCTGAATAGAAGAAATAAATAACCACTTACTAGCTCCACCACTATCATTTCCCACCTGGGCTATTGCAACAGCTCCCTCACTGCTCCCTGCCTCCTTCCATTCCCCCCTTTACCTGGAATCTATTCTCAACATAGCAATCAGAAGAAACTTGGTAAAAAAAAAAACAAGTCACTTAATGTCTCTCCACCAAAACCTTTGCAGTTAAGCCCACCCAACCTCTCTCTCCCCTCTCCTTCCCTTTCTAAGCTCATCACCCACTCCGTGTCCACTCACTACTGTGAGTGACTCTTTGGGGTCCCTCCCACATGCCTAGCACTCTGGCTTCAGATTTTTGTCCCAGAAAATCCAAGTCTCTCACTTCCTCATTTCCCCGTGGTCATTGTCCAAATGTCACATCTTCGTGAGGCCTTCCCTAATTTCTCCTACTTTAAGTTCCCACCCACTCCAATCCCAGCTTTCCCTATCCCTCTTCCGTTTCATTTCTCTTCATAGCACTTTTTAACATTGAAAACACCATATATTTTTGTTTATTTATAGTTTTTATTATCTCTTTTTCTCACTAGAATGAAAACTCCATAAAGGTGAGATTTTGTCTCTTTTATTCTCAGATGTAGTGTTAGCACCCACTACATCTCCCTGTCTAGACTATAAGCTCCAAGGGGGCAGGGAATTCGTTTAGTTCACTGCAGTGTCTCCAGCACCTAGATTAGTGTCTGGCCTATTAGAGGCACTTAATAAATACTTGTGGAAGAAAAGAAAGAAGGAGGAAAAAGAGAAGGAAAGAAGAAAGAAAGGTAATAAATGTATTAATTCTATTAATATTAATTTGTACATATGTTCACATAAAATGTAACTGATATTAATAATAAATACATAGATACATACATTTACAAGTCATTGGAGACCCAAGGGCAGACCTCTAATGCAAGGGGTGTCAGAGAAGGCTTCCAGGAGGAAGCAACTTCTGTGCTGACTTCGGCAGTGTTTTAATAGAATCTGCACATTATCCCAAACTGAATGACATCTGGGAAACACTACTCTAGACTTAAAATCTAAGCCTGATGAGTGACACTGTCTACTCAATAGTCTGTGAAGATGCCTGCTTTCATTCCTTCTTTCCTGTTTGCATGAGCCACTCCTTCATCAAGAGGTAAATTTTATTTCCTCTTCCTTAAATTGGGATTGATCTGTGACTGCTTAACCAATGGAAAGGGTGAAGTTATATGATGGGACTTTCAAGCCACTTTCTTCCTCTGGAACCCAGCTGCCATGCTATTAGAATATGGGGTCACCTGGAGAGGCAACATGGAGTAAAATTAAGGCACTCCAGTGGAGAGCCCCAGCTAAGATCCCAGGCAAGGGCCAGTAAGGAACTCCCATCCTTCTTGAACACTCCAATGAGTCCATCTTCTCGCACATTTCAGTCCCTAGAGGCCTCAAGTAACTACAACCCCCACCAACACGATCTGAAACAAAAGAACCACCCACTGGGCTCAATCAACCTACAATATCATGAGATATAGTAAAATGGTTGTTCTTTAAGCCACTAAGTTTTTCAGTGGTTTATTATGCAGCAATTGGTAAATGAAACACTCTACAAAATTGTGGACTTTTGTTTAACTATGGTTTGAGAACTGTCAACAGATAGGGAGAGTAGTCAAATTTTGAAATTACCCCAATAAAACTGGCTTGGCCTAGGAGACAGTCTGTGAGGATGGGATTAGAAGGTCACCTAGCTAAAACTCGCCAAAAATAACGGAATTCTACCTACAACATCTCCGATTGCACAAAGTGTCTACTTCATGCTCCAGGATGTGTACTCACTTCTTCAAGGGCAGCTGTGCCAGTCAGGGTTCTTGGGTTGCAAGCAACAACAATAGACTCTAGATAGAATGTAGTAAAATTATATGTAGGAACTAACAGAATCAAAGGGAAAACTGGAGAACCAGATCCAGAAATGTCAGAAATTAGAGGAAAAGAAGATCCTGGATATTTTATCTGGGACCAGAAGTAAATCTAGAGAAGATCAATCAAATTATTCTATCTTCTCATCACTCTATCTCAAGATTCAAATCAAAAAAAGGAATTTGTCCAAATGGTTTTATTTGGGTCACATGTTGTATATGCAAGTAACAGGTTACCAGACCGATAATGCTAACTAACCCAGACCGATAATGCTAACTAACCAATGTACCTACAACTTAAACTTACTCTCAAATAATTCAGGTGGGGGTGGGGGGAAATATAGGTGCATGTAAGCAAATGTGGCAAACTTTTAGGTTCAGGGTACACAGGAGTTTCTTGCATTATTCTTGTAAGTTTTCTGTCGTGGCTCTTTTATCTCCCCATTTGACAGATGAGTAAATGGAGGCATTGAACAATAACTGGCCCAAGGGTATGAGCTACTAAGTGCTACAGTCAGAATATAAACCCAGACTCACAAGCTCATATCCTTAACCATGATGCTTTCCTGCCTCTCCACAGACACATAAACAACAAAGACATTAGTGTGTTCATCAGGGACCTTCTGCTCTACCATCTTCAGCCTCTTGGTTTTCTGTCCTTAGTTTATAGCCTCATGGATGCAAGGTGACTGCCCCAGCTGAAGCATCACAATCGAGTCCACATGCAGGAAGCAGAAGAGTGAATAGGTGTCAAGAAAGCTACTGTATCTCTGCCTTTTTTTTTTTAGATATAAAATGGTTTCCCAAAATTTCCCCTTTCCCCTTACTGCCTCCCACCGCCAAATCAAATGTCCCCTTATTTCCCATTATAGTGGCGATATGGGCTACAATGTTGCCCCTAGCTGCAAGGGAAGCTGGGAACCCGAGCATTTACCACCTCAGCCATGAGCGGATGAGTGAATGCTTCTCCGCAGGCTGGTCCCGCCCAGTGAGTGGCTCTGCTTCTGTCCCCTGCATTCTTCCCTCTCTTACAGTATCGCCTAGTGGTTAAGAGTGTGGCTGTGGCACTCACTGCCTGACCTGCTCAGCTGGTTCTGCTACTTACAACCCTGTGTGCTAATGGCTGGTGACTTAAACTTTCTGTGCCTCCATTTCCTACAGTGGGAACCACAATAAAAAATAATACCTACTTCACAGGACTGTAACGAGGATTAAATAAAACAATACTGAAAGCTCTGAGCACAATGTCAAGCACAAAGTACACCCTCAATAAATGTTAATAATGATTATGTATGGCAGTTTCGAACTTGGGGTTTGCAGGGATTAATATCCAAAGGTTAGTGACAATTTCCTCCTTTTCCCTCCATTTTGCCTCATTATAGTTATTACCATCTGAAATTTCCCTGCAAGTGAAAATAGATTGCTCAGGTGGACCTAAACCCTGCACATGGCTAAAACGCTGTTTCCAAATACCTAATCTGATAATGAGCTGGCACAGGTCTGGGCTCCACCCCCAAGCTGTACTCTGAACTATTCCATTCCCTGGGTAGGACACACAGCTGGCAGGGCGTCCGACACACAGACAGACAAGAAGAGATTTCAAGCCAATGAATGCTGTATTTATTGCTTTGCTTAAAAGGGGGAAACACCTCTGCAAAGAATCACATTTAAGGCAAATTTTGGGTAGTAAAAAGCAACCTGAGCCTTTCAACCCAGAGTTGCCGTGTTCATGCCTCTTACTGGAAACCTAGATCAGGATTTGGAGACCTGTGATTTTTGTGCCAGGGGTGGCACACGAGCCAGCTGGAATTGGCACCTGGGCTGGCTGCAACAGACTTGCCCATCCCTACAACCTGCAAATAACTCTCCACAGTTGGAAGAATTTTGAGCCGAGTCACTTTCTTCTTTTCTTCCTGAGACTTACTTATTAAATGCATTTGCTTTGGGGAAAAATCATTTGCTACCAAATGCTCCAAAAGTACCCATTGCAGAAGGCTAAAAAAAGTTTTTTAAGGGTGTTGGCAAGGATGAGGAGAAATGGAACTTTCATACATTGCTGGTAGGACTGTAAAATGGTGCAGCCATTTTGGAAAACAGACGGGCAGTTCTTCAAAATGTTAAACACAGAGCTGCCATATGACCCAGCAATTTCACTCCTAGGTATATAC